ACCATTCCTTGGTGTACGGTTGTTCTAGCGTGACCCAAATTGACTTTACCAAAGCGTGTTGCCAAATCTGTGTTGTAAACTTCAAAATCATTTAGATTAATACTATTAGGCCTACCTTCACAATGCTTTCAGTGTCGTAAAATTGGTCAAAAATTAAAAAAAAAGGTTGCATCCGGAAATTGGCACAAATTCAGTTTGAGTGTTCTGAAAAATGGTGCACTTAAATAAATCTTAGAAAATTCCACATCAACGTCGACATTTCTTTGAAATTGATAACAATAAGTCATCATTATACATTTACCTACATGTTGATGTGGCTTCAAATAATACACGTACATTTACTTGGTAGGCTATTTGTATTCTGTAATTACTCTTGGAAATTAAAGAATGTTTTCTAAACTAACAAAATCATGTCAGATTTGACAGGAAAAACTGAACCCCTTAATGAATAGAAATACCCATGTACATCCAAAACACGAATTGTGAGCTCAATTTTCTTCCACACAGCATGTCTGAAGTGAAGTAAAGAGTCCCCAATGCTTGACAAGCTCTCCATCTTGATATTGACATTCTAGTGCTCCTTGTTCCTCCCAAAGTGACCCGCTGCATTAGCACAAAATAAAATTTGGACAGTCATGCAAAAACGAAAACTCCCCCAGGCCAAATGATGGAATAACTGCAAAGCTCAAAACTGAACAGGTGGCTGGATGATATATTTTTCTGAATCAGCACAGGTAGATATATATTGGTTGATATATTCCTTGAGAATGGTTTCTAAATATCACTAAGTAAACGCATTAGCCTCCAACGTATTTTTTGTTTCGTCTTTAACAAGTTTCTTTTTCTCTAAGGGCTTTGTGGCTCTTTCATTCATGAGACTACATGTACATATATAAAATTCAGAGATACAATTAAATTTTTGTCATTGAAATCATGCTGTATTTTTCTCTTTCACAGCAGATTTACAGAAGGCATTGCCGTAATGTGGTGTCAAGTCTTCCAGTGCTGACATACATTAGATACATGTACATGTAAATTACAGGATACTTTTCTCATTAAGACAATTAAAAACGGAGTAGCATTTATCAAAAGTCATAAGTTTTATTTTAACATGAAATTACATGAGACAAAATGCTTTAATTAATAAAAATCAATTGAGAAAAGAAATATTAAAAATTCATTTTGTCGTTGAAAGCTCATGTTTGCAACCTACATACATTGTATTCCAAATGCTAAAATTACTTTTGCTCTGTAACAATGTTGGTATTAAATATTCCAATCATGCCATTCACCATGCTACATGTACATGCACCGGATACGGTACTGAGTATGACTATATAATACCCGATACATTCTGAGCTCAAAACTGTGATCACTGGGCAGCCATCGTCAGTTGGCATGGGCATGAAACAATTTGGCGCACACAAACTAAGTGTCCCGCTGAAACATACGTGCTCTAAAACTGTCTTCATTGTCATCTTGACTGTCAACTCATCTTGTAATCTGTGCGAAATGCACTGTTGGATGAACGTTTAAATGAATAAATAACGACTGCTGCATGGGGATAGTATTGTTGGTACCCCGCTGTGCAGCTGAAACAGTCAGAAAGAGTCAAAATTTACACAAGTTCTATTTTTTCAATTCACTACAATTCTAATGAACTAATTTTCTCTAAACTAAAATGAGAAATTCTTTTCTGGAAAATCAGCTTCTTACAATGGTTCTGGCTGCATAATGGATTTCTGTTTATGTGTGAAGACGTTTTTGTCATGATTAGAAATTAATTGAACCCATCCAGAACTACTGAAATATGTTGTCGTCACTTTTGTTGGCCCTGTAGGCCCAAAGTCCAAATTAAAACTTAAATTTTGAAAATAATTGTGTAGTATCTCCATCACAGCCGAGCTAATCCCTCCCCCCCCCTCGCTTTGATATGGGCCAAAATAACCTGGCTCTTTGAGAAGTTCTTAAAAGTTGATAAATGCTGACAGATTATTTTTCCTACAGTCACCTACATGTATAAGCCATCTGAAAGCAATGATATGACCTACATGTAAAAGTCAAATTTAATTTAGAGGGAATATTAATGAAATTTACTTTAGTAATGAAATTTGAGGCAAGGTTATTGCTCTGGCAAGGCATTAGAGGCAAAAAATCAAAGTGTGCCATGTTTTGGCCACAACACATATGTGTACATGTACATGTAAGGGTACATCAACAATATTAATGAAAGGCCTACCGATATTATCAGTTAAACAAAGAAAAGCTTAAGACACGAATCTGCTATTTAGAAATTTTTTTGTTAATAGAAAATATTCAGACAATATTCTGGAACTTTGTAGACAACCACTGAAGAGGAGGGAGGATGCAATATTCTTTCCGAATCTTCATATCATAATCCATCCATATCGGCCTGGTCACAAATTGACAAATCTCAGCTATGCTCAAGCATTGTCCAAGTAACTAGGACGCTGTGAATCACGTCTTTTAACATTTACACATGTACGTGTAAATATGTGGACATGGTCGAAAATAATAGAGCCCTAGAACCTTCCATAAGCCTTGTGTATCATTCATTGATTTCACTTACGTAGCTCCTACCCCGATTCAGAGTCCCCGAATCAGAGTCCTAATGTAGGATACTATTGCAGATCATGTTTGAATGTTAAGAGGTGATTCGTAGTCCTACATGTAGTTGCTTAGACTAGGTCTGCTCCTAGAAATCTGGTTGAAGGCACCCCATGTGTATACACGTACATGTACCGTACAAGTATAGTACGAAGTGAATTAGAAATTGGCTTACACGCGAGTGCAGAACTAGACTTGAAATCAAGTTTGTAATTGGCCGGGTGCAGGTGTAGTCTGACCACCTTCCTCGTCAGTGCAACCTTGCTCCCCTATATGCATAGTCAGTAGTGCCCAATGACAGACTTGACAATCTGCAAGCCCTTTTGTGCACAACTTATGGGGCTTGCTACCAAATTGGAGGGAGCACTCTGATTGGCTAAGAATCCCGATTCTATGAACATTTATTTTAGGGGCAGTTTGAGTTGAACATTTATTAGCAACAACCACAGTCTCGTTCATTAAAGAGGTGGTTTACATTATTGTAAAGGGACGATTTACCATAAAAGCAGTAGTTTTTTTGCCAAAAAAGATAGTTAATAGATTTGTTCCTGAATAGTTTTGTAAAAATATACTTTGCCTTTAAGCATCATATCAAAAGGGATATTAATGCTAGATATATGAAAGAAACTGGCACTAATCTAATAAACGTGTAGACATCCATATATAAAATGGACCAGTCTGTGATGTAGTGTGAGCTACTCTTGGCCCTCTCCATGGAAACGTATGAATTTGCAGAGCAGTTAGGAGGACACCGAAACCCGGTACTGAACAGCCCACGCCCACGCATCATATCCGGGCCGAATCTGCATGGCATGCTGGATTGTGGGCAATGATGAACAGGCCAAGCACTAATTGTAAAACGACGCATCATGCTGACCAACGACTTGATTTTAAGTTTAGTGCAGAATGTGTTAAACCACTCTCTATATTATGGAAGATACAGGTACATGTACATGGATGGTGCACACTGTTGGGCTTTGTTTTTGTGAAATGAGTTTGTGAATTGAATACCAACATGTACTTGTGCTTTTAGAAAACATGGCATTTTTTTGTCTGGACCTCATCTTGTCAAATATTTTTTCTTTTTAAATTGCCAGCCTTGAATGCATGGCATACCATTTATGCACGTACATGTACATGCACCTGATTTTTCAATTCCCCCATCAGACTGAGTGCATGACTAATCAGTTTGGTAGCCTCCCATGAAACTGTCACTTTTTGCCACATTTTTCAATGTGAAATTCACTACTGCGCTGCTTGCATTAAGATGGCGATGTGCGCAATGAAATATATAAACAAAATTCTCACTTTGCTCCATAATCATAGAGCTACAGTAAACTACAGAGTGCTGACATGTACAATGTACTTGTGTACCGTTCAAAGAGATGCCTATTTATGAAAAACTTATGAAAAACATTTATTTGGCTTTTGTATGGCTATTTGCGTACATGTATCTGCGTCTGTATTCTAAAATGATGCGTCAACAAAGCTGGTACACAAATAACCTAAACGCACAACTCAGTAAGTGAGCATTTCATTTTGCTCTGCATATAAACACAAATGCGTGCGTGTATGCACTGCAGATAAGTTTGCTGTGACATACATGTACATGTATTTTCGTCGGATTTTATCAGTACCCGATGCTCATTGCGTTTAGAGTACACAATTCGATATTCATTCTGTTCAGTTTCCAATGTTTTACATGTACAAGCACACACATAGATGCAAGATGTCTGCGCCCTGGACAGCGTCAAATTTTCTCCTCGCAGACAATGAAAACGTAGCGCTCTTTTAATTTCATATACAGCTCTCTGTGTCCATAGTCCACATTACCCAATCATAGTCAGTCTAAAATGACTAGTTTCAGAGTATTTTCAGAATACCTTGCAGCTGAAAAATAACTCTTAATGTGTTTTGCTATGCAGTCAAAGCTACATGTATGCACCGGTTCGTGGGTGGTTACGTGCATACAGAGGTGAACATACATGTACATACACGCAATAAGGGCAGATCAAATGATTTTTATTGCAATAGAATGGCATGACACTGATAAGAAAGCAGTGCATAATAATCAGGGTCATTGGGAAAAAAAACAATTTCCAAATCTAACCTGACGAGCCTGCTCTTTGCTACTTGGGTACATACATGTACTTGTACGTACATGTATGTCGCTGAAGTGTTCTTGGATCATGGTACATGTACGTACATGTACATGTAGGTGAGCAATCAACTGTGACTTAGAGCTAGCTCAAGGTGGCATACATACATGTAAGGTCTTGGGTATTCAGCAGTTAAAAATATAAATGCTGTCATTTTTATAGAAGACAAGTTTATTATTTGTATGTGATCATTTTCACTTTCTTTTATTACAGGGAAGACGGTGGTTGTATCCTTTCGTCAATACCGATGGTGTGACATGTCAAATGTTAGCCTGAGACTGACGTGATAAAGTTAACAGGTGGCAGTTTGTATGCATGTGTGTGTGTTTTGGTGTGGTGGGGTTCTATGATACTTAGCCCCACAGACTTGTGTGGGAATCCTCATGCTCTGAATGAAAGAGAACTTGAAGAAGTAGTCTTTGTCCAGTAAGGTATCATGATTTACCAAAGGCAAGACCAAGCCTACAGCGACTTGCTCAGCAAGAGAAGTGCTATTTTTACAGTTAAATAGTTTGCTCCAAATCATAAGCAACAAGGCCAAGTTTTGTGTTGCCTTCCAACTTGGTTTTATTCACTCGATTCAAGGCGTTGAGAATGTGACTCAAACATACTCAAGCTGCAGTGGCAAATCATACATATCTGCTGATTTGGCTCACTTTCGATAATATCCAGAGGGGATGTCCCTAGTTCCCTAAATCTCCCTTGCTGCGACCAAGCACTGGTCAGTACGGTCAGGAGTATTACCACATATGGGCATCGTGCCCTTTGTCTGTGCCCCTTCTGATCTAACTTCAACATTAAATATCTCAAGTTGGCACAAATGAATTTTAAATCTCATCGATACAAATGTGTTTAAGAATGTCTAGTTGATGTGACCGGTCAGATTGCACAAGATTTCTGACCTAATATCCCATCCAAATATGGTAATAGTCCAGATTGCAGTAAGTGCAAACCAGGAGCACAAGTTCCTTAACTCGACACACCGTCAGCTTTCATCCCTTCCTCTGCAAATCTTGCTGTATCTCAATGGCTGGTACTTTTCCCTCTTCTGGATAGTTGAACTGCTGTTGTTCATCTACAAGGGTTAGTGTGGTTCATTGCATTTGTTGATAAACATGTATTCCTCTGTCTGCTGAGTCTTAGCCACAGAGCTGTACATGTATATAATTACCAGAGTGCTAAATTGTTGTGTAGAGTGAAGCCTGCTTGGCACTTCCATATTTTTATGCCCAAACCTATGAAAAACTTGAAATTTGGTATTGCTTTTGTACGGCTTTTTGTGTTTTGTTACTGTATTCTAAAAAATGCCGATATATGGTATGCCAGAAGACCTAAATGCACAATCAGTAAATGAAATGGGTTTACTCAGCGCAAAACAATGCATGCTGAACCACTGTAGATACTTAGTTAAATGACAGGGATCTGGCAAATGGTGTGTTTTTGTGTTGCGTTCAGACTTCATACATGTACACGTAATTCAAAATTCTTTCCATCTTATTTTATTATACATGTATTTATGATCGACAAATACGTACATAAATTCAAAATGTCTATGTCCGGAAGGCGTCGAAGCTTCTTTCTGTGGGGAATGACTACATGTAGTTAGCACTCTAGTACTGTAATATTCTGTACCGCCATGGTCCTTTTGCAACACTGGATTTGGCATACATTTGTAGAATTGTACAGTGGTGCAAAGCTGAGTATGGCAAATTTTCCAAAATACATGTATTAATTTGAGCACTTACAACATGGGCGTGTCAACACATTTTACATTTTACAAAGGATGAAGTCAGTTCTCTGAAAGAAGAACACAAAAACTGAATGCGATTACTTCAAAGTTTGTGTGAACCACGTAACCACGGCCATTCTTCAAATGCAGTCACTGTGACGGACTATTATCAGTCAGGGTATGGCCAAAATACACATGAAAAGTCATACCAGTGCAGGTTACTCAACCCCTGATAGCCTTATTCATCTGCAATGACAGCCTCTCCATGTACGTGTATAAGTGCACATGTTTGCTAGAGTAATGCTGAAATTTGTGGTTTGCTTGACAGCGACGGTGCTGCCGTACCCAGGTGCTAACTTTGCTGCAGAGGCAGTCATACTTTTTCTCATGGCCGGCATTGAGTACGTCAGGTTGTTCCTTGGTAAGAATCTGGTTGTCCTTGTCCATCCACCACCTCTGTCCTTAACCATCACTTTACAATCGATGTACAAAAAGGTGTTTGTGTGAACTCCTCATGAGAATTGTCAGCATTCAGTGTGTGTCAGAACAGGTTGCCTCACTGAAAGGTATAGTCCATCATTTGCCACAATCCAAAAATTAACCGATGAAATTGTTGGTGCAAAGCATACTTGGTTTAAAGATGGTTGTTGGACTAAACTCCCTGTGAAATGATTCTCTCTGGCAAGTTGTAAGTATGAACAAAACAATGAAAGAAGGCCATTTCCAATGACGCATGTAAAGATGCCTTGTGGTAAATTACCATTGGAAGCATAAACAACCTCTTCATTCCTCCCATATCCAACAATATTTCTTGAATATGCTCCCTTGAGGGGGGGCCCATTGCCTTAAATCCTTCAAAATCCTCTGGTAATCTCGATCAATATGTGGAGGCAGTGCAGATGGTATCCCGGCGCAGTATGGAGGATTTCATGTATAATGTAGACATGAATTCATGCATGGCTGAGAATAAACAACAGTAGGTCTAACCCACAACCTTGACACAGTGCATCCTTTGCAATCAGCCATTCTCCCTCAATCCTCCAAAACCACCCGGAGGATTTTGGAGGATTGAGGAGGGTTAAGGTTGAGTTGAAAATGGCTTGTGCTTTGCATGTTACATATATAAAGAGATTGTAATGGTAATTTTTTTTTCAGATTTTTCTCATCTCGACCTTTTATGATGGGGTGCGATCATAAAAACCATTTTTCCATATTCCCAGCAATCCAAGCTTAAGATGGCTTGTCTGGGTTGTCAGCATGACAACATCCCTAGTGGAGGCATGTTCCATTGCAGGGGTGCGATCATAAAAATCATCTTTCCATATTCCCAGCAATCCAAGCTTAAGATGGCTTGTCTGGGTTGTCAGCATGACAACATCCCTAGTGGAGGCATATTCCATTGCAGGCTATGACTTCACCTATTTTATCTCCAGGTTTACGTGCACCTAGGTGACTCAGGTTCAGTATCAGACCACTTTTCTGTTCGCAGAAAGTAACATCCTTTGAGTTGGCAGTCTTTATCTTGTTGAATCACTTGAAGCATCTCAATAACTTGGTGCCAGGAGTGTACATATGTAGGTTTTGGAAACGCCATTGTTCTGCACGAGACCAGTACCACAGTTGTCACTGATAAGGCTGTCTGACAAAAAAAAATAAGAAATCTGTGCAAAAAAATATTACACCCCAAAGTCATTGTCATGGTACTTTGAAATGAACTTTTTCCCTGATCTTGTTTTCCAAAAGGCAAAAAGGGCAACCTAACGGAGAAGATCATCCATCTGGGCGTGTCCCTGGGCGTCGGCCTGGCCACGCTGTTCTTTGGGCTGTACCTGTTCCTGTGGCAGACCTATGTCCTTCGCATTGAGCTCATTCTTGTCGCCGTGGAGATGGCCTTTCTCTTCTTTGAGGCCGTCTTTGGACTCATAGCGATCATCACATTTGCAAGGTGCATATGCATTGACCCATTTACACTTAATTGGAATGAAATCAATCAAATACAAAATATTTGGCTCATTGTCGGTACTGTCTAATCACTGTCTTGTCAATTATGTCATCAACTGTTTGTCAGTTGAAAATCCAGCAATGAACCTCCAACCAATCCAATCTATTGTTCAGACAGTGAACATTCTGTTTCTCCATCCCTTGGTGTATGTACAGTACATGTACATGCATACTATATGTACTATTTGTCTGATTATACATGCCCATGTTCAATTGTTGTCTATTAAGTGCCTAACTTTATAAAGATGAACAAAGAAATTGACTGGAGTGGGATTTGAACCCGCAACCTCCAGAATACCGTACCTGTGTTCTACCAACTGAGCTATCCCCCTACGTTGGTAGTTCTTCCCATTTGTCAATTATCTTTCTTTGAGGGTGTGAGTCAGAAGCCATGTAACCTAAAACATCACATGGCCAGGGATAACTCCCCAATCATACACGATGCAACCTGAGAAGTGGTGAACAGGGATCAATTATGGAGGATGTGACTTTTTTTAACACAAATCATGAAACAAACTATACAGGGAAACTGACTAGGTGCTTACGTATAATTATAAAGATGAACAAGATGTTCTGTGTCTGTTTTTTTGCATTTCTAAGCTTTTAAATAAAAATTTCCTGGCCATGATTGCATAACTGCAAAGTTTCAACCCAATCAAACATGCGCTTCAGGATATATAGTGATATAAATCGGCACTTTTGATGTCACCTGACATGTTGAAATTTGCACCTTAAATGCCATGTGATGCGGCACTTGATGTCATTATGGTGATTTTTCCAAGATTTAAAATACCATTTAACTCAACGTTATTTGATAGCTGTTGATGTCATCAATATGTCACTCCGTGGTTTTAACCCGATGGGACACGCACTTCACAAAATACAGTGCTTTTGCTGGTATGAAACGGGCTGGATTCAGATTCGCACCTGCTACACTCCTTGCTACAGCTAAATCACCACCCGCTGATTCCTTTCAGTGCCAGGAATCTTTCCATTTATTTACCAGAGCATGACGATGCGCGATTTCCCTGCCACATGGTTTTCTTGTTGCCAAAGCAATGGCCCCGAAACAGTGTGGGTCAATTATACACATTACATGTACAAAGCATGGCTCTTATAGCTACGGCTGTTACCCCTATGGGTCGTGTTGGTGGCACTGCCAGCAGATGGCAAATTTTGTCATTGGTGGTGTACTCCGTCTATAAACAGTGTATCAAGCCCAACACCTTGGACAATTGATGCAGATATTTACTCTAGTTTTGACAGGCAACTTCAGACTGTAACCGTTGGGATTGAATTTGTAGCTATTTTTCATGAATTAAAGGTCTTTTCATCATAACTCCCGGTCTGATAAAGTCATCATCCTGAATTTTCCACAAATGTTGCAAGCATAAAGGACATCATGTTAACCAATTTTCAAACAATTCTAACCAACTTCGCCACAGACATCTATTCAAATATAATTTGAACAATTTTCAATTCGTCATAAGAGGGAGCTCAAGATTTTCATGACGTCACCAGTAGCTGTTTTGCAGAGTACTATCTGGCCAGAGACTAACCCTGTTCTAAGCAAGTTCATATCTGTCACCAATTTTGAATTACTGTATGCGTATAAGGGTCACACGATTTTTACACACACAAGATGAAACAAAGAACGCAAACACCAAGTCACTGGAAGTCACGGTTGATTTCATGTGGATTTTTAAAGATTAAAACTCGACCATTTTTGATTGAGTGTTGTTTGACACTTGATTATGTCATTATTTTGAGGACATCAAATAATTGACATCATTATTTAAGGATCATCTTTTCCTTAAGATCCTTCTTTGGTGTAACTGTGAGTAAGATCCAAAATTGTTAATTGACCAAAAAGGCCTCTTGAAACTGTGTACAAAGTCAACAGGAGAAAATAAATATTCAAAATTTATTAATGAATCAAAAGCTGACATCATCATGACATTACTTTCCTAAAAAAAACAGTGCTCTCTGGTCTTCCTGTGATGTAACTGTGGTGAAGATAAATCTTTGCCAAGTGACTTGAAAGACCGTTGAAATGCGTGTACAAAATTAATGGAGCAAACTAAATATTCAAAATTACATAATAAATCACATGATGACGTCACAATGATGTCATGTTTCGAGGCACATCTTTGCTATGAGTAAAGGGTCTTTGTTTGAGGCAACTTTGGTGAAGATCCCAAATTGCAAAGGGACTGAAGTGACATGCAGAAAAACTGTGTACAAAAGAAAAGAAAAAAAAATCATGACAAAAGAATGCCTTTTTCAACAAAATGCGAAAAAAAGTCAACAAAGAAATTGACTGAAGCAGGATTGAACCTGTGACCTTCGGAATACCATACCAGTGCTCTACCAACTGAGCAATCGAGCCCTACGTAACCTCCCCGGATGATCCCCATTCACCACTTCCCAGGTTGCATCATGTATGACTGGGGAGTGATTCCTGGCTATATGGTCCTTCAGGGTACATGGCTTCTAACTCATGCCCCCGAACAAAGATGTATGGGAAGTGCCACCAACTTAGGGCTGGATAGCTCAGTTGGTAGATACGGTATTCTGGAGGTTGCAGGTTCAAATCCCGCTCCAGTCAATTTCTTTGGTAATCTTCATAATTATATTTAAGCACCTACATGTTGTCAGTTTCTCTATATAGTTTGTTTCAAGTTACTGACATTCGAGACCTTGCACATCCTGTTCAAAAAAAAATGTTTACACACTTGTAACCATTCTGCTTTAATCGAAACTATCCCAATTATTAAATTTTCAGACTGCCAAAAAATCGGAAAGTTCCATTTTCCATAAAGATTAAAAAAGTTCTGGCAAAAGGGGGCACTATTGCAGAAAAAAGGGTACTTTCCGCTATGTCAAAATGGCACTTGCACATACATACATGTTTGACATTTAAATGGCTTCTCTCACTTGGCTGCCTGTTTTGCTATTTGATCAATAAATGATGTTCCAATTTCCAACGGTTCAGTGTTGGCAGATATGAATTTGTGGCGTAGGGGGAAGAGTAGAAAGAACTAATTCAGATACATGTAGGTGGCAAATCATTCAACCCTTACATGTAAATCAAGTGCGTTGTTCAAAAGATCTCTCGAGTTTATTTTGGTGTTTTCAAATGTTATATTGTTGTTTTACAGGGCAGAGTCATTCAGATGATGAAACTTTGCAAAAGTATGCCGGTGCCCAGTGAGTATGTACTGCTAATGGAATCAACTTCATTTCATGACTTGTCTCTGAATTGTTAGAACGTTCTATGTGCAGAAAAGCAAAGGAACATGCTGGGTCGGTTTCACACACTCTAGGTCTTTTGTATGCTGTGCGTCGGTTTGGGTTGGAATCAGAGTCAGTTTTGCACCTGTTTTGTCCCATGAGTATAACCCTTGGATGTTACTGGCCCTCTCAAAGGGAAGGCTCGCAACAAAAAGCCATTGATGTCTGTGTTATACATATTTGTTTTTGTCCTTTTTTGTGGTGATTTTGTTCTTACTTTATTAAGTTTTTTTGCCATACAAAGAAACCAATGTTTGAAGTATGGAAGACTTCTTAGGGCTCAACCAAAGATTTTCGTTGGGTTGTTGCCTTAGGAGTAATATCAAGAAGAGTTTATCAGTAAATGGATTTGTACATGTACGTATATATCTACAGTGTTTGTGTAAAGAGATCGAATAAGTCTGTGACTGACTTCCAGATTTGTAATTTGGCTAATTACAACAAAAGTACGAGTACAAGTTTATTTCCTTGTACATTACCTCTAGTACGTGTTCAATAACAAGCTTTTTTCCGTTGGCACATGGGTCATTAAGAGAGCAACATCCCAGAGATTTGTGTTGTATGGGTATGAGTATTTTTCCACAAGTTGATCATGAGTACAGTGATTTGTTTCTCGCCGTTACGAGTTCAAGGCAGTTGTTTCTCATGAGTAGAGTGCAAGTACATGTACATTTCCAAGCATGCAAGTACCAATTCCACTGCACTATAATGTCATTCTTAGTACTGGAGGGTCCAATCAGAAGGTGTCAGAGTACCACATGACCACACGGTTCCCTCGGATATAAGCCACCCTCACTGCACACAAGCATTTCAAATGGGATAGCAACCTGTGCGCCGCACGTTGTAAACTCGACAGAGGGTTCATATTTGCCTAAATTACTAACTGAATTCTTTATCAGAGTCCCTATCGGTCACAATTTCTGCTGTTTCCGGCTGTCGTCGTTCATACTGGATACCGGCTTTGCGTTTTTCGCACACTTTTTGCCATTTGTAAAGCTAAAACGATTGCCAACTATGTAAATACATGTACTGTGCATGGTGCTCCAGTCTTTTCTCGTTTACTTGGGTCAGTGAGGGCAAGGGCGTCATGGAAATCCCCGCATTAATAAACCCCGCAAACCAATGATCAAAACGTAATATATATTGAATGAGTTTTCAAAGTGAATGTTGGTGTATGCTGGCCAGGCAATATTTCTGTGTATGTGATTCTAAAACGAAAACTCGTGTATTTGATATGCACTTCTTAGAAGAATTGCATGTCAGTGTAAATATGTATTATATATGTAATTATTGTATATAACCAATGAATCAAATTGCAATAAAATCTTGTCGCGCTTGAGGTGTTTCAGTGCTACATTCGCAGTTGTTAACTTGCATCATTTTCACCTCTCTTTCGCATCATTGGTCTAAGTTTAAGCGATACTCGAACTCGTTTGTGCATGTGTATAAATGTAAGATGTACATTTATAAGCCATTGAAGTACGAGCGGTTGAATTTAAAGACCATGCCGGGTACCAGTTCCAAACGGTGTATTCGAAAGATGTAGAACTTGTGATTCAGTCGACGGTACAAAGCTCACTTGGAGAAAACTATGTGGGTTCAAGGTGCATTATAATTTCTTTAAAATATGTTGTATTTTCTTAAAGATTTCATAAATCTTTTAGCTAGCCCATAGAGAGAGAAACTACCTGGCAGCCCCCTTCCCTGTCATCAACGTTTGATGATAAACCCTCAGCAAGTGTGTATATTGCCACGAAAAATGAGGAGTGAGTCGTGTTTCACAGGCCGCGTGTGCCCATTGGGGCCCGTCTGCTTTACACCTGTGCCGAGTTCTCATTGCTGATTCCATGAGCGTGGTACTCCTTAAATTAAAATTATCCTTCATGGTTTTCTGTGGAGTTATGGTACAGTATCTGTTCTGTTAATTTTCATGTGCTTGCATGCGCTCGCTGCCGGCACACGAGGGTGCAGGGTCGCACCCCAGTAATGATCCGAGAGCCCTCATTGTAAAAACAACAGTTCTCATAAAAGTTTTAGGTCTTTTGGTTGGTAGCATTGGCACATGAAATTAACATTTCGTAGCCAGATTGTTGTTTAGGGTGGGAGCTTCCTTGACAAAAAGAATCGCTGTCTGAAACAGAGACAAAGTCTCATGGCAGCCATGTGAGTATAGAGCATGGGATGGCGCTGTTTTGCTTTGGCTTTGCGATCAGTTCGTGGTGAAGAGTTTCCGCGTAGTTGACTACTACTAAAGTATGTAAAGATTTCAGCAACTTTGATGGCAGTTCCAAAGTTTAGTCCCGCCTTTTTTCTTTTCTTTTTTTTTTCAATTTATCGGTTGAAGTTAACACTTTCTTTCAGATTATCTTAAACACTGGTAATTTAATGTAGTCCACTGTCTCGTCGCATTTCCGACTGGCATCGACACACAGTAGCACGCTTTCATTGCCCCGCCTCGACGCAGTCAGAAAAGTGTCATCTTCGGGGACTTCTGCTGGGTCGGGGCGGCAGCTGACAACCATGCTGCGCGCGCTGGCCCGTATAGCATTTCAACATATTTTCCAAGATCCCCCGGCCGCAGCTCAGCTCGGCCAACATGATGAATAGGGTGCCATTTCTACCCGCCACTTTGACGCGCTTATAAGAACAGTGCAAGTGAACCCTGCCTTGCCAACATACGAACGATTAATCTTCCGTGACGTCGCACAGCCGAGCAAAGAAAATAGAAAAGAATAAAATGAAAATTTGCGATTCGGATTTGGTTATTGACGGCAGAAAAGAGATATTTTGACACATTTTGGCGCCATAAATCTCCAGTGTTATACTAGTTTCATATCGTACACAATCAGTGCGGGTCCAAGCATCATGTCCGACCAGCGCACCAGTATATTTTGCCAGAGGGATTTTTATTGGGGGTGTTTTCCGAACGGACGTACCGTCATCTGATCTTGAAATATTTTCGTCAGGTGGAGTCGAAGGCCCCTGCTTCTGCGGGAACGGGGGACAAAGACGATACTAATGTACTTGAACAGTGCCAAGTTAGGCTGTTTCTTGTGATTTTTTTTTGTGTGTGTGTTTTTTTACGACACTCGCTGATTCACACTTTGCTAGGAATTTTAGTGAGCAGACGCTATGTCTATATATTCGATTGGTCCAACTTGGCCAAATGTTGGCAGTCATAGTCACGTCGTCGCCTTGTTACGTAGTCCCAAGATATTTCATTCATAAGCCATTGCCCTAACCCCATTAAAACTTTATTTTCATTTTGTTCTCTTCATTTTCAAAACTCACTAGAGGGGGCGAACTCTGCCCCTCGTCCTGATTTCAGTTGTCCTTTTGAAATACTGCATTCGTTTGAAACAACAGAAACCAGTATATGCATCATGCGTGTAACGACATCTGTACTGAATATATCATCCTGTGAAGTTGAAATGAAATGGGATAAAGAGTTTGATGTTAAAATTATCAATATACCGACTGCCACAAGTGTTGGCCCATACTTGGGTACATTTCATTGCACACGCTTGCTTGTGTCTGAAAATCGAAGATGTCACCAAAACGGTTTGCGATATGTATATAATTGATACTGTTTATGTCAAAACGCATGCCCATGAGTAATATCAATTTAGTTACTCGTCTATCCCCGATCCACATAGTTTTATTTGTGTTACTGAGTCTAATGCTTTCTGAATCTATTGTTAAGTGCCTAATTTTATTGTGACCTCCCCATGTTTACATTTGGGTTCGCTCAACGTTTTGTTCTATACATTTCTTTTCTAGTTGCTTGTTTGTTGCTTGCTTTCTAGAGTAAATAATATTAGTAACTGTGGCCGCAAGACGAGAGAAAAGGTCGGGATGGCTGGGGGCGCGATACTCAAATTCGTTGCAGTGATGCTGCAAAAAACGCATCGGCATGGGAGCGAATTCTGCCCTCGGCCCTGTTAAGCATAAAAACCTGATATAGAGCAATCAACCTATTGTAAGCGTAAAAATACCAACTGTTCTGACACGCTTTCGTCACCCAATTCAAGCGTTTGAAGACAATTTTGAAGTTGACGCCACACATCGACAAACTTATTTCCCCCGACAAGGATTTTCCTTATCCAGTGTACTAATCTCTAAAATACCACCCCGAATTGGAACGAGGCCTTATATGGCGTCAAATTTTGTACCAAACTTAATCATCTTCTGCCGAAAGTGTAATTGGAATCGTGGAGAGATGACAGGAAAAAAAATCAATACAGTTCTTTAAAACGCACAGATGGGCCGACAGACGCGCTATACGCCGAGAAGCTAACAGTCGCTTGTTGCTTAGTTACTTATATCTGTATTCCACTCTTTTAAAGTTTAGAAAGAAAGTTAAAGATGTTGGAAAAAAGGAAGACGATTGATAAAGAGTTTTTCTAGCTCAAAACTAGCGGCACAGAGACCCCACCCCCACCCCCCTAAAAAAAACAACGTGAAAACAACAACAGTTCCAGCGGCGAAACCCAGATTCGCCGGTCCGTCGGCGGAAGTTTTTCTAGGCTCTGCGGATCTCGGGCTAAGTCTCCCCGGCTCAACTAGCTTGCTTGCACCGCGGATAAGCGAGGGGGAATTGCCAACCCCCCCCACCACCATGCACATTCAGGCGGAGAACAAAAAGGTCGGTGACGGGCCCTTCTTTGGGCTTGCTCTTTCCAATTCGGAAGCGGGACTTGTTTTGGTCTCTCTTTTTTCAGAAGTTGATCGCTGCACCCAAGAAGAAGTCTTTGGGCTGATTTTTCTCAAAATCCACCCTCGAAAAAATCTTCTTGAAGACTTATTGTTTTCAGTAATTTCATTTTGTGTCAATTTTTTTTTTGCAGTGAAACAAGCTGTAAAGAAACAAAAAGAAATTCAAGTGCTAAAGGTAAATAATTATGGTGAACAATAAATGTCACTCTTGATTTAACGACCCTCCCACCGAACTCCGTTCTGTGCATCTGTACCCATAGAAGGTATGTCAGTTACGATTGGGGTTGGCATGATTTCAATTTTGCGCTGAAAAACATTGATATAATCTAATTCGTAGTTCGTAATCGTACCTTTAATTCATTTTGAATGGGATCTTCCATGCTAAGATCTCAATCAAATCCTCAGCATAAGTAGTCGACATTCATTTGTGTTGTTAACTTAATCACCGACACTGATCCATGTTGTCGACATTCGCCTCATCATTGAGCAAGCGCTTTGAAATCAGATTTTAGCGTGGAGCTCATTTACGATTTTTTCCTAGCCATTCCAGTATTATAGCTATGCTGGACATCCTAATGAAAGTTCATCTTAATACTGAGATTTTGATCTGTGCCATCACTGAAACCGACCGCCCAAAACTAACCAACTGACTCTCTTGTGTATATAGTAACATGGCTTTTGGTAAATTAATTTCTTAGAATATTGTCCACAGTGTCGCAAACAACATAATGCACTGTGCACTTATACAGGTCTGTTTTTGTTTTTCCCCCACAAAAATCGAACACCAACGACGCGAGATCTTCAGTGCGGAATGAACTTGATCCACCATCTCTCATCGTGCTCAAAAGTTGACAGAAAAAAGCCCGCGGATATGTTCGGGCCGTAATGCGCATGTTCGTGCGGTTACCATCCCCGAAGGTTTCGAGCCTGGTGCCCGGCGCCGCCAGCGCTCCCCTCGCGCCCGTCCGCCGGTCACCGGCGCCGCGGTTGGCCCGTGGGACTTGAGTGGTGGTATTTCAACATGGGTAACCATGTAGTGAAAAGACGTCAGTCCCCACTCTGGTCCGGCTTACCGGTAACACCGCCACGAATTACATCCAGCGGCCTTTAAATTCCCTGTCACATGTAAGTTTCTGAGCTCGATTCAAGGTGACTATCTCGCTATCGGTCGATCGGCATTTTTCAGTTAGTTCCGTGGGTTTTCAATTCAACGGGATTTGTCTCGAGCACCGGAGCGCGGTCTCGATGTTGGCGACTATGGGCAGCACGCCTGGTTACCCGGCGGACCAGCGCGCGTCGATGTGCCTCCAGCCGTTCGGCTACGGGGGAGGAGGGGCCAGCGACTCGTCCCCGCCCGAGTACCACTGTTTCGCCGACCAGGCCGCCTCGCCGGGCCTCTACCGGCCAAACTCTCGCGAGGACCTGGATCCCCACGACCGAGATGTGGGCGTGGAGGAACTGAGGGACGTGGCAGGCGGTGGTAGCGGAGGGAACTTCATGAGCGAGAAATACAACCATATCAACAACGGTGAGAACGGAACGGGGCACTACCCTCACGTCTTGGCGCCAGGCCATGAGCATGACACTCATCATACAGGTACTTCAGTCTCACTCTCACATACAAGTGTCGACCTAAGCATTTTCTGTTCAGTTCCTGCCCTTTTATTATCCTAACAACATTATGCATGTTTTTTCCCTCTGTTATGCTATAACATCCCATAATCACCCACAGTATAAGTCGTATAAGTATGTATTTTGAAGAACGGTCATGTATTGTGCAGGCTAATAATTACAGCTTGAGAAAAGTCCAATTTTTATGTGGGATTTTTGTTTTTGTTTTTTTTTTGTGCAGGTGAACGACAGTGCTTGATATGGGCATGCAAGGCGTGCAAGAGGAAAACCAACATCTTCGACAAGAGGCGAGCAGCCACAGACCGGGAGCGGAGGCGACTGACCAAAGTCAACGCCGCCTTCGAGGTGCTGAAACGCCGGACCTGCACGAACCCGGAGCAGCGAATGCCCAAAGTGACCATTCTGAGGAATGCCATCCAGTACATCGAGCGATTACAGATGATGCTGCACGAGGCCGAGTCCACCCCGCTGATGCACCCGGGAGGACGGCCCCTGCGCGGCAGTGATGGAGCGGTGCTACCCTCCATGGACTCGCGGCTCAGTGCGGTAAGTATAGCATGAGAAGCCGGGTTGAGGCACCGCGCATGGTGCCAGACATGCACGCCGAGGATTTTCGGCTGCGTGCCGCGCCGAGCGGCGGCCGAGTCTGTGGAATGCGGATCGTGGGCTAGCTGTAATTCAGTTAATGGTGGGATATACATCATAATTAGCGGCAAGGTTAATGGTGAAAGGTTTGGGTAACAGTAAAGATTTATCTCTCCCCATATCATCGTAATGTAGGATCCACAGCTAACTCGGAAAACACGTTTGCGAAAAGCCAGCGGGCTGGTAAGAAGTCTCGCTTTTAAACGGCACATTTTAGAAACGTTTGAGGCATCGAGTCGGCTTTGATGGCGCCATAAGTTGCCTTTAAAAATGTCTTCGAAGCCCCATTGAGTAAATGGCAACAAAAGCAGTAGGCGAAGACTAAAAAAAACTTGAGTGAAGTCAGTCTTGAGCCATGTGGACATTTGGTGATCATACTGAGACTGCATAATTATACAGGTGATTGCTCGGTGTTTTTTTGAGCGCAGGTGTTGAATTTCAACAGTAAAGGGGGCGACAGTTATCCTTCAAAAATGTTGCTCAATTATATTTTGTGATTGTCTGCACAACAAAGTGTACTTTCACTCTTCTGAGCGTAAATACCTGAAGGTCATGCATGACAGCTTGCCTGTGTTATCTTTTGTAGACCTTTTTATGGCATGAAAGTTAACAATGGTCTGCATTAATGTTTCGTAATGTACACTATGATCTATTATGTTTGTCAGATATTTAGTCGGTACCTCTTCCCTGAGATGAAGGTATGCATTGCCGTTTCAAATTGCTCTATTGAAACCAGGAATCATCAACAACTTCTAATGTCATAACCAGGTATACCCGAGACCTAATTCCTGGCAAAACAAACGTTGACTCCTCCGCGGCGGAGCAGATTGTAAACGCATTACGGGTCGGCCGAGTGTTAGAGCCCACAGTCTCCTCTCATCAAACGAAAAAAGTGCCCGTGCGATCGTTCCCCACCGCTGGCACGGTGTCCGGAAGGAATGCCTCTCACGTGGCGAGTGAAATCGCAGTCGGCCCCGGGGAATGTCGGGTCGAATCACGGTGGGAAACGGGTTATGGGTGCGAAGAAAAAAGGTAAAGTGTTGGGGGCGCCACGGTGCATGCAACACCTCAGTCGCTTTTGGTCAAATCCTGATGTCTGTCGTCCTGTATTCACTCTACTGTCTGTCTGTCGATTGGTCTGCCAGTTATTTCTCCGTCGTAAAGTCTTGTCGTTTTCTTGCCGGTCCAACTGTTATCCCGTTCTTTATAAAATTAAAAAAATTCCTCCACGGCTGTAATTTTATTCAATTGTTTTCCACTTGAATTACATGTACGCTTTAGTAAAGTCACCGGTTTGTTTTTATGATCTTTGCGTTGTTTTAAATATTCTTTTCCATCTGTTTCATGGCAACGTGTTCATACTATGCAGTCCTGTAATGTTCGCCTTGCTATGAACCTGTTTTTACGTTGTTCTTATTTTGTCCAGTCAAATGGAGGACAGTACGTGTAGCTGTACATTTTAATTGTGGCATAGAACGTCTTCTTGGGACACCATTTATCACATACATATCACTTTGCGTGATGAAAACTGGTTTTTGGTGTTGAAATTAAAAATCTCTCAGAAATGGAACTAGTGAAATGAAAATTATTAAGGACGAGACAGGTATACGTGACAATCGTGCATATTAAACTATAGGAAATCCCTAGTTGTCCATTTGTTTTTCCTAGCGTGTCACTGGTCGACTTGTATTTTTCTGGCGATCGTAAAACTCGATCGGCCTCATTCGCGGTTTTATTGCCGAAATTTGATTGGCAAAATAATGAATTCGCGACTTTATCACTTCTCCTGGGCAGCGGGAGACACTGTTGTGCGGTCAGTAATCCCTTTCAAATGATTTTTACTTCCACAGTCGTTTCAGTTCCAAGAATTTTACACAAGTTTATGGGATCGCAACGCAACATTTTCTTCATTTTAATCATTTCGTAATATCCTAATATTACAAAAAGTAACAGAAATGGTGGAGGAAAATATTATAAAGGTACCGTGTTCTTTCGGGTAAAACTGTTCAAATGCTGCCGGTAAACTTTTTAACACGTGCAATCAGTACTCTATGCCAAGTGCCTTCACTTCAACCATGACTGATTTTAGTTTCAAGAATTTTACGCAGGTTTATGAAATTGCAACACAGTAGGTTCATTTTTATCAAATCATAACATTGTAAAGATTCAAAACAGTAACAGAAATGGTGGAACTACAGATAATATTAAAATGCATTTTGTGTATTAAAGAAACAGAGAAAACAACAACTTTTAAAAGGTAACGTTATCGCAGACGTAGGCCTGTTTTGGGATTATTCCAGACAGTGCGATTAAGCAATTTAATTTGATTCGTTTGAGAGAAACTTAATCACATTAATATTCGTAAACCAGGTCTGGAAAACAAATGAAGGAAGTTTTAATTTGAAAGTTAGCTGGACAAGTCTTAGACATTGTGTTGAAACAAGCTCATTCTACCGTAAGTTACGTGTACATTTTGTAAAATAAACTGTGGGAAACAGGGTCAACATATGGAAATCGCACTGCGTAAATACGCCAGTTTTGTCGTTCATTGAAATCCTTTCATGCATATTCATAACTTCATGAAATGCCAGTATTGAAGCAAGTAAGGGACGCATTTCGATTAAAAAAAGTTACGCTAGAGATTAATACCTTGATTAAACGGATGCTTTCACACTCTGTCAGCTGAAACTGCTTAATAGAAAGGTAAATAATGGTTGAAATTGTAAGGAAATGTCCACCGCCTGTTGCAGGTTGTGATTCGCATTTTGATAAAAAAATAAGTCCCATAATTTGCCCTTGCTGAGCTCTTTCATTGGTGTACGTACACGTGTACAGACGCCCTTGATTACACGGTTTACGTGAATGAACCCCCTGCGTGGCGAGGGTCGAATGTAACGTCTGAATGGAGTCTAAGAATATACCACGAGATACAGGAGTTTCCACAGTGGTCATGGCATCAAAAGAGCTCTTCACCATTAAAAATTGTTACGTTCAGTGTATTTTGGGGTAAAACAACGAAACATTATTCAAAATGGAAGTTAACCGACCATCAGGAAGACGCAAAATACTGTGCTGCTTTTAACTGAAGACTGAATTTGGTGTTTGGTGAAAAAGCAGCGCGCCGTCTTCATGGTGTGTGGGTTGATTGTGTGTATTAATGTGTATGTCACTGGTAGGAAATGAGGATTGTGTTAAATAGAAATCTCTCTTGGCGGGATTGCTTCTGCTAACAACTTATCACTCTCCAAGGATGTAGGAGACGGACAAGATTTTTTTAATTTAGAGATTTAAAGGTTCTTGATTGTTGTATTAATTTTTTCCCAAGATTTCTCCGAGTATAGGCTACGTGTAGATGGAATTTTGGGTAAAAAGTTAGACACACCTAATATCCCAATTTCGAATCCAACCTTTCGAGTGCTTGCTATAGCCCAGTGGTCGAGAGTGGTTGTTTAGGGAGTTTGTGCATGTTAAAACCTTTGTCTTTATCTAACCTTCAGAGATTTATAAATACGTGTGCAGATAGGCCATGTAATATTGACCGCGTAACAGCATTGAGTAAGGAAGCATCCCTCTTTTCGGGAGAGGAGGCAGACGTGCGGTTCACGGCATTATGGATTGGGTTGGAAACCCGTGAGTGTCTCTTCAGCTGATTGGCCGTGTACCTTTGAGTTTCAGGCTGTCTAGGAGTATACGCTAAGCGATTAGTTTGTATCACTGCTAACCTGTAATAATGAGCAGATGCCAATTTGACCGGCGAAGCGAAGTCGGGCGGTGATAAAGTTTTTTTCCCCCTCAAATTGATGTTGGCGATACTGGGTAATATCATTGACAGTTTCGTTTTTCTTTCTAGTACGCGCACGGCGCGGCCGTCGCGCTTTATTTTGGCCCGATTATTTGATCAAAACTCGACACGCTTCCCGAAAGGCCGACTCGGATTCCGTTTCACAAGATTCACGGCCTTGCTCTGTTTTCCAATCTTGGGAAGTTGTACATGTATATACTGTCCCCCCCCCCACTCCCCGTACGAGTCTGCATATAGTCTTTGGAGGATGGGAATTAATTAATTGACTGAATCTCCGAGACGATGATGGTGCATGTAGATTTTTTTTTTCGCCCGCGGGAGCCGTCAATTCTTTTTACGGCTACTTGGTGTAATTGCGCTTCGGTCGTCTTGAGGTTCTACAGTCTCCACTGTTTTTATGAAGATTATGACCACCAACCACCAAGGGAACGATGTCCGATACCTTGTTCTCGCAGCAGAAAAGACTTGCCGGATTTTCATCAGTCTTTTTTAATCATCCCTTTGTTGCTGCTTTGTATCAATTGGAATTAATAACTCTTTAGGTTTTTATAATCATTCAAAAATGTACATAAAATTGCCCGGCACTGAATGCGTCACATATTATAATCATCCTGAGTACATGTGCATGGACAGAGAATTTCTTTTCATTTATTTATTTTACACCGTCTGGCTTTGGCAATTATGAAAATGAATCGAGGGTGTCAAGAAAGAAGTATAAAACCGTCATCAAAGAGATGTTTTCAACCAGATCCCTGTTCAACACAACAACGAGTGCCACAAGGTGTATGCAAAATGTTGGGGCATTTTAAAGTATGTAACATGTTTCAGAACAGAATGATCCTTCGTTGCAGCGATTTTTGTGTGTCTAGAGTAATAGGAGCAGAACAAGGCAACGGACAATGTATCCCTGTTGTACCCTTTCCGAGTTACAAATTTAGCATTCAAGGTAAAACACTCCTGCAATCTTTCGCCACTTAACTCTAATCATGTCATCCCCGCCCGGCAACGACTGCCGTTAATTTCGCGTCATGCCCCTTCAATTTAGTCCCCCAAATGTTTACTGTCCGGTTTCCCTGCTTCATTGTGGCCATATCCATAAACTGGTGGCCTTGGCGTGCGCATGAGTGCTTTGTTTTTTTACCAAGGACGTGCAATTAATAGAATGCAGGTTTTGATAGAAGTAATTCAAAGCATCACGAGTCATATGCACACGGTGGACGATTACGAAGTTGTGCAGTCCATTTTCGCCGTAGTTGCGTTCGGCTCTAGGATGTCCTAGACGTACACTTCGATGAGTATCGGTAGTGTTTGTGGGAGCCACAGAGGTTGCGTGTAACCGCTTGACAATCGCCACCATCCTGACCAAATAAAGCACAATCGTTGTGGGGCCAAAACAAAACAATGTCTTTTTGAAAATCGCGCTTAGAACATTGTGCTAGTGTCTCACATATTTAAATTGACCACATTCACCCGAGAATGTTTTGCTGTTTGTCCGCGATGACGCCGTCTGGACGCGTGCAAAAATTGGAAATTAGAGTAAATTTGACAAGAAAGAGCTTAATATGTGGAATGCGTACAGTTGCCTAATTACTTCTCACATTGGACATCAGCTTGGGAGCGTAACAGACGCATCTTGAGGCATGTCCCATCACAATGCTAGAGGGATTTCCTGCGTGGGGCACGATCAAGTCGTTGTCAGAATTTAGGGATGCCGGGCTATTGACTTCCAACCATTAGAATGAAAATTTCAGACCAGGCTCGCTGGATATGGTCACCAGTGGTATTTAGCAAAAACCATTGAGGATGCAAAAACTGACCCTAAAAACCCAATTCTAAAGAACTCTTAACTTAAAACTACAAATTTGAAGCTCAGAGTTTACCGTCATCGCGTAATTTTTACACGTACAGCTATGTGCAATATAAAAATGCCAGCAGGTTCCGTATCATAACTGTGACGAAAATTGCCGGATTCCAAAATACGTGTACCCGCAAAATGTCTCATCGAATGCCCTGGGGACGGGCCATTAAAGGCTGGTTTGGTAAACGCTTTTGCAGGTGTGGGCTGTTCGTAAACGCGTGCAGATGAGGGGCGGTCACTGTAGGGTCTGAGGGTACATTGACCGGTCACTCTGGGCCAAAAAGTCGGTGTCATACACGTAACTCCCACATTGTTTTGCATGCGAAAGTGTACATGCCGAGTGACGTCAGAATTTGTAATTATATTGACAGTTAATTGTTAAACTGAAAGGTTCATTTTGGACTCTAATAACACTGCTGTTATTTCAAACAAAACACGTTTAAAACTGTCACACGTGACCTACAGAGTGGGGCTGATAAAAAGAATGTTTGTAGCAAATATTAGTTTACAGCTAATGGAATTGAATAATGCCATTGCCGGGTGTTTCACTGTTTCGAAATTCAAATTTCACGTAAATGGCTTTTCTTCAGAACCATATGACAGTCTTTGTAACAGTTGTAAACCGCGACGATCCAGAGCAAAGTTTATTCAGTCGATTCAGACTGATTTTTAGTAATCTAATGGAAGAGCAGTTTTAACTATAAATCGCCTTGGCCGTAGTTTCCGTGTTGGTGATGAAAAAAACCTCTCTCTCTCTCTCTGGAACGAATGATTTAAATGCCTTAAAAACGGTGTAAACTTTTCATATAGACGCCCAGGTTGTGAGGCCCTGAAGTTTCTATTTCTTTCTTAAAACCTCTTATTGATGCCTGTACCCTGTCTTGTTTTTCCTTCTCAGCCCGGGGATTTCAACGGCTCGTCCTGCTCTTTTCGCCTGATGAAAATCAACTCGGACGACTGCGATGGAAGTGAAGACACGTCAAAAGGTAAAGAAAACCTCAAAGCCGCATTGGGAAGAATTGCACAAAATGTGCATACACCAACTGAAGACTATGCCAACGCGAAAAGGGTGTTTTGAGAGTGTTTTCATCTCAGGAAAATGCTGTTTAGCGCCTGGGAGTGGCTTAATGGATCGGGCGCTTTATAAATGTCAGTTATTATTATTTTTATTATTAATATGGTGACGTTTTCTGTAAGACGATCATACGTGCATGTACTATGTGCCCATTCCCTATCAAACCCGCTCAGCCTACGTTTTACCCGTCATCCAACGTCGTATGATGTGGCTCTGCGTGGTGTGAGGCCTTGGTCTTTGGGATTTGTCAACGTGAAGTGGAAATGGCAGTTTTTTTAGCAGTGTTTCCTTTAGTTGGATGTGACTCGTTGAGGAGTTGTAATTTCTTGTAAGATTTCCAAGGTGATACGGATTCTGAATTTATATCTAGAAAGTTCTGACTTTTGCGATTTTTCAAAAGTGTACTTCAACACTACTGACCAAATTGTGACGTTCTCGGGCAATGTCACCTTGATACCCCGTTTTAATTGTTAAACGCCTGAACGGGTAATTTTTGCGCCTCAGTTTCTGGTATACCGGTACGTTCTGACTGTTTTTCATCTTGGAAACACTAGTTGAATCACTCCTTTTCAGGCTCAGGAAGTAGCCTGTGTCCGTTGCTCATAAATGGGGCTTGGGGTGCCCGTCATGCAATGGTCTCTCCCCGGGTGGCATACCGGGCCCGGCTCTGATGATGGCTCCCATTGACGGGCCATACCGCCTGGCATCTTCTTGTCCTTGTCATTATACATCATCAGAAATTAAACAGAAAACTACATGGTTAAAGTTAGTGCTCAACTTTTCTTACCAGAGTAACTAAGTTGTTTACAAATTTAAAGCCTTTCCTGATTAAAGGGAAACTGTAGGTGTACACACACACTTGTTAATTCACTTTCTTTAGAGATTGGCTTCGGTCGTATAGTCGCTTACAAAATATGAAAAAGAAATTAAATGGACATCAGGTTTACGGAAGGCACCCGGTGGTATAACAACTTGGCAGGCCGGGCAGGCAGAGCGGGCCAGCCTCGGCCGAGTGGATAGAGCCGGTCATCTCGATGGTGTAGCGGGGGCCGGAACCGCCAACGCCTCGGTCAAGCTACTCCTGTCGCTGTTGTAGTTGACCCCCTCCTCCCTTCCCAGACAGCCTGCCGACATTGGCTTGACCTCCGCGGATAAGGGGAGGGGCTACCATGTCGCCCAGACGCATAATATGGATCTCGTAATTCCCAGCTACAATGTTCTGTTTAAATAAATCTTTCCTCTCTTCCTGTGTCCTTGACGGTGCGTCTGGTCCGAAAAAGTCGTCTTATGTGCTGGAACTTGCTTCCAATGAACGTACCGGTGTCTGCTGCGAAAACATTAACTTTAGCGAACTGTAAAACGAGCTCACTAATGTGTATACAAGCACAATCATGGCCGTTTTCCGAATACATGATCGTGACATTTTCTGCAAAGTGTGGAAGACATTTTCTTCGAAAAGCTGGACCTTCAGAAAACGTTCAGCGGTACTCGCCCTGTAACAGTCGGTTAGAGCAAAGCCACGTTTTCTTAGGACGTGCAGCTGAAGTATAAACAAAACCCTTTTCCTTCGGAAAGCCGGCCGTTTCCATCCGTGAGATAAAATGCGTTTGAAGTGTTTTATTCCATAGTTTTCCACACCGACATTAATACGAGTTAAAAAGAGCAGTGAAGTTGGGCTGGTGTTTTGCCGAAATTGTTCGATAAAAGGTTTTAGAATGAAGTTATTTCAAAGGTTTTGTCAATTGAAATTCGGCCTTCGGTTAAATATGAGAGACTATAAACCTGAGTTCTTAGGAATATTGTGGCAGCACTTCATCAACTCGGCTTAAGTAAAGTGCAGGCTTGACGTTGCTTTAAATACACGAAAACATCAATGAAGATAGATAGGTGGGTTCATGTTTCTTTTAGTTGTGACAGTAAGCTTTGTTTCACGTTGTCTTCAACCCTGGGCAAAATATTTCTTCGCCCTTAAAGTACAACACACCTTACGAAATGTCATAATTCGTGATTGAAAACACCGGACAGCCGCTCTTGAAAAAAGTTAGGGCGTAATGTTCTGGCGTCTTGACAGGTGAGGCGATGAACTGTATCTCCCTGCACTCCATGGGAACTAGATCCGCGCCTCATCACGGCGCACATCACATGCTCTCTCCTGCTACTGTCGACTAGGGACCTCGCCGTTATGATTTATGCCATGTTAGTGGTGTGTCTGTTTTTCACACATTTTGCGTCACCTGTCCATGACCTCACGAATTCTACCAGCATTCTACCAGGGAAAATTCAAGCGTCGCGTTATTGATTTAGACGGTGATGCGGGAGAAGTGAGGACTGTATTCTTGAACTTTGTCTTTTATCAATGTGGCTATTGAATCAGTTACCATCGGTTGTCCTCTTGTCTTCATTTCAACTTTGCGATCAAACGAGGTCGCTGCACTGTTTGCGATAACTTTTGTTCCTGGTTTTGTGTTCACTCATCAGGTACATCATTTTGATAATGAGAATATTTGCTGGGATAGATTTGTATTTGACATTCGCCATTCCAAGGCTCTGAACTTAATTCGACTTTGATTTTGTGTTTAAGAGAAAATGATCAAACAGTTAGTGTTACGTGTAGTCCGAGGAACAAGTTATATGCTTTTGCCGTAGATCGCCTTTCATGATGAAACATTGTTGAGGTCAGGCATGAAAGGATCCAACCAACCCACCGTGACGTCACTTCTCCTGATAATTTCCATGCATGGACACACTACGAGAGGTCGAATTGGAAATATTGTACAATCTCAACCAACATTTGTTTAAATTTCCTTTTTTAAACACAAAATTTTTGGAGTAGTTTCCCACAACATGATATACGTTCATCAAGTGCATTTGGACATGCGCGTTGAATTATTTGAAAGTCATAAGGACTCATTTAACCGTAATGCATTATCTTTTATATTTGGATGGAAGGCAAATTATAGTTTCCTCTTTCAATATCCATTGCTGATTGTATGTCGAGAAGAACGCAATAGTTACTTTATACCCCGTTCAGTCAGCAAGACCAGTTAGTAAACTTCATGATACTTGGCTGGCATTCCTCTTTTTTTTCTCCAAAAGCGTAAACAAAAAAGTCCCCAGATAAAAGCAAACAGGAGTCGTTGCTGAAAGAAATGCAACACTTTGGCAGATCTTCCCGACACATTTGGTTGATTTACGCGGGATATGCGCAGAAATTCGGCGGGGAAATATTTATAGACGTTGTCCAATATTAGGTGTTGCGTTACTGGCGCCGTATTCCCTGGGTGCGCACGGCGATAGGCGAATGTTGCCAGATTTATTGCGCTTCGTTCGCTTAATGGTGAGAACCACCAGATTGGTTCACGGAGTACTAAAGGAAGTTCGCTTTCTATGTTACATGAGCGGTTCATATAACCGTAGAAATTGAATGGCATTATAATGTCGATGTATTGAGCTTATTCCATTGCTGCTGTTACTGTTTTGTCGCTGCTGTAGAACCGCTTTTAGTGCCAGTATCGTTGTTGCTTGTTGCATGTTGATCGCGCTGTTGCAACTGGCGTCGTGCCGTCTGTAGTGTTGTACTGCTGTAGGCGCACTGTTGTCGATGATAACGCTGCGATGCTGATATCGAAGATATTGACGGTCCCTGTACTATACTGCGTTGATGCCAACATCGTCCATGATGTTGCTGCTCTTCTCATTGGACTCGTTCATACGGGGAAGGATTCCCCCGATGGGCTCTGTACGGTCAAATCAACTTCGATTGATGCTGCTGATGATGTAGTAGCTGCAGCACACGTTCTGTTACGCTTTCATTCGTTTTCCTGTTGATGCTGTTTGTTGCTCTTGGTAGTCGCTGCTGCAGTTGTATTCCTTGGTATGAGTGCTGCTTTTTGAAAGAAACTCTATCAAGCGAGACCCTGTTGGGCACGCCTTTTCAAGTAACAACTTGAAGTGAATGGTCCACAGTCAGTCATTTACTGCCATCGATCCAACCGCTTGCCTGGGGAGGAAATTTCTACGAATTTCCCACTCCAGTCAGTTCAAGGAGTGAAGAAGTAGGCCTACATCGACTCAACTGATAGGCCTACCTGTTTGGCCCTTATGACAAAAATCAGTAACATTATGTATTGTTAATTTGAAGTGATCAGTTTTGAGAAGCCACACTATGTAGACTCTTATGCGTTTTATGTTTTGATTTTAGAAATAAAGCTTGTATCAAAACTATTTAATCACTGACTTGTGTGGATTTTCTTTGGAATGAAAACTTTAAACCAGGGCTGACCGATGTGCTTACCCACCAGGGTGATCGGTGGACGTATCATATTTCCAGCTACATTCTTGTGCCGTCTGTGTAAGTGCTTATGCGTCGCTTGGCTAACACCCCGGATAAAAGAGCTCGTAAATGATCGAATTTAGGGCGGGTTGGTTTAAACGTGAACTGTGCAGTTGCCCCCTTCTCTCGCGCAAAATGCTTGGAATTATTCGAAGGCCGTTTCCGATAATGCGGTTATCGACTTCACTGCCAAAACACCCGAACCCTGGATATCTCCGTCGGGCATGTGGTGTGAACGTAGTTTCAACTTTCAACAATTTATACGGGTCATATGCAAAATATGACACCGTTCTGGAGAAGACTGACTATGATGATATTTAGTGGCAACAAAGATTTTTGAAGAATTTATTTATTGTTGTTATTGTTAAAAAGAGTTTTCATGAGATTATGTGCAGTTTAAAGAGCTTGGTCAGTTATGTAGTTCCATTTCTGATGACCTGAAGCTACAAAAAAAAAAAAAAGAAAAGAAAAATCGATAGACCAAAACATTTTTTGTTGTGATTCGAAGCCGATGAAAATTTAGATATTGCATGTCTGAAGATTGGCGAACTGTTTACTTAAATCTTGAATGTGTTGTC